CAGCATGTAATTAACGTAAGTGAAATGCGTAAAAACATATTTGTTCAAAATTAGTTAAATGAAAATCATCATTAAACCATTTATATTGCTGCATTGTAATCTGATAGAAAATCTATTTCGATATTCGGGATATGCGTATATCTCTACCATTTGATGCCCTGGTTAATGAATAAACAATTAATATGTGCTTCTATATTTATTAACAAACATAACAATGAAAAAAATAATATTTAGACTGAAAACAAAATATGAGAAATAGGAGCTTTCAAGACGTGCTCCTTCGGGCATGAGTGTATCGAGAACAACTGAAATAAAATATTATTTGATTGGCGACGAATTGACGCCACCAAAAAGAATTAATTCCTAACATAATCCTTATTATATTTTACAAAATCAATATTTTGCTTAAATAATCGATCTCATTTTCCCAAAGTGCAGTTTTTAAGTTGTATACGGTGCTGTATAAGTAGTTATACTTATAAAATATTTTGGTAAAATAGTTTTATATGCTGGATAAATTAATTTTTTTTGCCGCAGGGAAATGTTTTAATTTTGCTCCTCGGACTTACCTCTTTCCGTCATTCAAATTTTTTTTTTAAAATTAATTTTAATAGCATCTTCTGTAATCAAACCCGGCTGCTTTTTAGTTTTTCCCATCGCTTCCAAAAATAAATTAATAAAATAAAATAAATAAAGTAAACACAGAAAGAGGGAAAGAGAAAAAACGTAAATAGAAACCACGTTTACTTCATATGATATTTGAAGAAAAGAATAGAAATGCCCACATTTTAAAAAGATGTGAACTACCCAGTTAATATGACCTACTTCCGGAGGACAGGTTCGGAGTGTTGTTTTATTTCCTATTGTTTTAAATCGTAATTTCATCCTTAGTCTGAAGTACTTAGTTATTTTTTAGTTTATTTTTTATGTAGTCTATAAGAATCAATTCTTTAAATTTAACACTTCTTGATTTTTTCCCCAAGTTTTTCTGACTAGAATATTATTGCAGAAAAGAAACTTTATTTTCGAAACACTAATATTTATTTAGTTAGAGTGATTCAGTGATTTTACGGTAATTATTACTGTAAAAATACAATTTATCAGATTGTTTTGCTCCGTAACCTGTAACTCCTGTTTTGCTCCGTAACCTGTAACTCCGGGCTCCGTACCGGTGCCTGGAGTTGCGGTACTTTTTCCGTAATTTTTTTCAGTGTACTAAGAAGAAATTTCCTCTTATTTTCAATCTTTAAAAGTTTATATTTGTGTATATTTTTGCTGTGATGTGTTTTAAAAATATTGTATTTCCTTATTAAAGTCATTTCAAAAGAATGAAGTTTTTTTTTCTTTCCTTTCTAGGATATATTTCGCTATATTTAATAATCATTTCTTTAATCTCGAGAAATTAACAATTAAGCTTAGGACTTAGTTTCTAAAAAAAATATTAAATAAATAGAAGAAAAATAAACATTTAAAAAAAAAAAAAAATCTTTTCACTAACTTCAAGAGGTGTGATTTTCCTATGATGTGACCTTTTTAATCGGTTAGTGACTTTTATTCCGTTATTATCTCTATTTTTTAAGGAAGTTATTCGATTGCAAATAAATGAAATATTTTAAAAGAAAGAAAAAAAAAAAGACTAATATTATTTGATCCTTAGGATCACCTGTAGTTATCCTGAATAAACATAATAGTCTTCAGCTGCATCAATCAAATGGGATTTTCCGAGAACTTATAACTTCCTATATTGCCATTTCCAACAGCTTGGAATTTCACTTTCTCTAACTTACCTTACGTTGTCGTGCTGCAGTTGACTTATGTCAAACCATTTATTTTGTGATACAGATTTGGACCATAGACTTTTTCTAATATGTTTGGTTTAATAGCTTTTCAGTGAAACATTTTCGGTAAATTTTATCTGCATTTCTAGTAAGTTCGATTTAGTGATATTGTATGTTGTAAACATTACTTAGTTGTTAGTTTTATTGGTGCTTTTATTTTATCACGTACTTCTGGAATTATCTGACTTTCTTTAATATCTTCATTTTTTTAGGAAATCAATCAATTAAAGAATTTATTATTTGTTTCCAAGTTTAAATGTAATTTTGATCGTAAATATTTTTTAATAACTTAATATTAATGGCTTTATATCTTTCTACATGGCTTTTATAACAACTGTTGGTTTTACTTTGTGTAATTCTTCTAGAAATCGATTCTACGTTTTCTTCTTGCAGTTGTTTTGACAAATCTTTGTCTAAGTGATATAGATTTAGTTCATTAAAAGATAGTTTAAGGAAGAAAAAAAAGATAGTTAAAAGAGAAAATTTTTTTTTAGTTTAATAGATTTTTAGTTAAATGTTCTTCTTAAATTTTATCCATATTCGCCATCATTCCTAGTAAGTTCGATTTAGAGACATTGTATGTAAATACTGTTTATTAATTGATTGTTGTTTGCTTTATTATTGGTGCTTTTATTTTATTACATACTTCTGGAATTATTTGATTTCCTTTAATATCTTCATTCCTTTAGGAAATTAATAAGTTTAAAAAAATATAATTTCAAAAGCCATTCCTTAGTCAATTCTAATTTAATAATAAAGCTCAAAAATGTTTTTAATAATTGAAGTTTAATTGCTTTACATTTTTCTATATCGCCATACGGATAGTTGTCTTGTCAAATCATTTATTGGTTGATTTAATTTCTGCAATGTGTGGTTTAATAGCTTTTCAGTGAGATATTCTTGGTAAATTTTATCCATATTCGCCACCATTCCTATTAAGTTCGATTTAAAAACATTGTATGTAAATTCTGCTTATTAATTGAATGTTGTTTGCTTTATTATTGGTACTTTATTTTATTACTTACTTTTGGAATTATTTAAGTTCCGTTTAAAGCAGTTCGATTTATTGACATTGTATGTAAATAATTTATTAATTTAATTGGTGCTTTATTTTATTCTTTGCTTTGCTTTGCTTTATTTCATCTGGAATCATATGTTTATTTATTATTTTAATATGATATGCTAATATAATTTAATGATGGTACAGACTGAAAATGGATAATTAGGGTAACTTCAGCGTTATAGGGGTATCCAAATAGATGACTTCCTTACAAAGTGCTATTAGGTCAGAGATAGGTAAAACTTTTTCGATTAGTGTGTCAGTTAAATTACGGTTTATTATTTTCAGATGTCCAGTGTACCACTTGTTACAGTTCTTTTTAAGAAATAATCTTTAAGCCACTGCTTTGCTTTCAAACCAATAAAATTACATTTGTGTAACTAATTTATATTAGCTAATTTATATAATTATTAATAACTAACTCCTCATCTTGGATTTTAAGTTAAAATCGTGATTTTCGTTTTCTTGATTTTGTTTTGAACCTTTCATGATTTAGTATTATTTCGCAGCACAATATCTTTCAAAAGAGGTAAAAAATAAAGGGGTCGCTTTATTAGATTACGAGAAATAGTGCTAAATAATTTTTAGAATTCTATGAAATTTTCCTCAAAATTTTAAAGCAATTAACATCTACGATTTGTGGCTCTGAACCAGTAATTTGAAAATATTGCGCGAAACTGAAATGCATTTCACATGTCACTCTGCCATGTATTGGTAAGCATGTCATAGGTTCGCCATATCTGCTGTAGGCTGTTTCATTAAGAAATATTTTTATCATAATGTATTTTGACACATGTTAGGAGTCGTGGTGGCTCAGTGGATAGAGCGTTCGTGTCCCAATGAGGTGCCCTAGGTTCGAATCTCAGCTGTAGCAGGTCAAATATTCTGCTTCCTGCTGGCACCAACTTCAGTGCTGACATAAAATATCCTCATTGGTTGACAAGTCATGGGTTAGAATCCCTTTTGTAGTCGAGTTAACAATGGGAGGCTTTCGTCGTTTTCCCCGCCATGTAACGCAAATGTTGGTTAGTTGCACCAAAAAGGCCTCTACGACTGCTAGTTTGTTCCCGATGCTTGATCCAGAAGTTTCTTTGTCTTCTGAGTTAGATTCAAAATTACAAGGCCGCAGAATTGACCATTGATAGTCGTAAACATAAACTCAGAATTGGGTCGGTTTTAAAATATTGTTATGTAAATGTTATTGTTTATTAATTACAAATTACATAACTGTTTCTGTAACTATTGAATTCTGATTTCAGTTTTTGTTTTGTTTATTAAAGTAATATATTTTTACAAGTTTATATAACTATTTAATAATTATTATAACGTAAATAAAAAAATTACATTTATTAATATTTTTTAAACTCATGAAATCCATTAGTAAATCAGTAAATTGTGACTCACATTTTTGGAAATGTCTTCTCAATATTTAGCATAGTTTTCGAAGTCCAGTAAGGCCTAAATTATTAGAGTTAGGTGCAATAATTTAAACTTTGACTCTAGGGTGCTATCAGAAATTTTGGGTGCTACTCCGAAAAATCTTTCAAAACTTGTGCATAAATAATTTTTTGCAATTCTGGAAAATATATTGACATGTATGCATTACAAATTTTCACAAATAATCAGTAATTTGTTTATAGCTACCAAACCAAAATTTTTTGGTATACAATTTTAGTTTTTAAATTTAAAAGTTTTTAAATATTGTGCAAAAATTATGCAGTTTAAAATAAAAATGATATAAACAAACAAACAAAAAAAAAAACCCTGAGATTTCCAATGTTTTTTTAAAATTTGTTTTTAATTTTCTATTAAAATAATTTTTATTTTATTTTTAGGAATAGGGTGCACAAAGCAAACATATATTAGTTCAAGTCCACTTAAAATTTAAAATTATAGATGTCACTCTCAGTTTTATGGCTATGTATGAATTTATTAGGCACATCATTATCACGAAATGCAAAATTCTTGTTGTTTGAAATAAGATGTACTTTTTTAGGTTTTCAGAGGGGAGCGAGTGCTCCTTTTAAATCCCCTTACAGACTATTTTTTATGTGTTTGCAACATCTTAACCCCCAGTAATTAAAGAATTTTTTTCCTTCCAGAATTCGAATTAGGAAATGGCTCCTGTAGACGTTACTTTCATCTTTGCCGAGGACGTCGTCGAATGGGACTCCTACCTGTCTCGTCAATTCGAAGGAAGTGGGGCTGTCATACAGCATGAACAGGTCGAGAAGATGACCTTTCCCCTGGGATGCACCAAGACGCCCGTCTTCAGCGACGCCCGTGTTGTCCTGGTCATCTTGTCTCCAGCCCTGGTTGAATTCCTTGACAAGCATGCTGCCGACTGCTTTCAATTTACTCGATTATTGAAACCTAGCAAAACAATTGCCATGATTTGTGGTGCTACCCCATCTGGCATTGCTGGTATTAAAGTGAGTGATAAAAATTTCAAAAATCTCTAGAATTTTATTTAAAAAAGGATTTAAAGGATTTATTTAAAAAAGGAAAAGAAAGGGATTTAAAAGGCTGCAATTTAGTAGTTCTGAATCCGATGTAGATGATCCTGTTTATTCAAACAGTACAGATGATGAAATTAATATGGATTATGATCCTGTCCTTGACAGTTTAGAGAAAGACATTAATATCGGAGACTACCTGCTAACAAGAGTAGCTGGTAAAAAAGCTATTCACTTTTATATTTCTGAAGTATTAAATGTTAGTTCTAAGGACGAATTTGAAGTAAAATTTTTAAAACGAGTAGGAGCAAACAAATTTGTTCACGGAAATGAAATTTCAGATATTTTGTTGTCGGATGTCGAATGCAAACTTCCCCAACCTATCTCCACTGGTGGATCAGAAAGACAAATAACTCAACTAAGTTTTCAAGTTGATTTTAATTCATACAATGTTAAATAAATTTTTATTTCTTTTCTATTTGAACTTTTCTATTACTGATGTTTTGTATTTGTAATATTTTTACTTGTAATACTTTTATTTGTTAATATTTTGCATTTGTAATATTTTTATTTGTAAATCCTTTGTATTGTTAAGTTAACAATTACTACTTATCATCTGAATCAAAGTCAAATAAAGTATTTCTTCATTTCATAAACTTGTCCCATTCATCCCCCTTACTGTCCCGTTCATCCCCATCATTGGGATGAATGGGACAAAAAACATACTTTTTAAGAAGCAATATTTTTGCAAGTTAAAACTACAGCTGATTGATTGAGTGCATCTTTATGGATAGCTAATGATTCAAATTATTGTATGGATAAAGTGAAAAAATTGAAAAGTGTTAATTTTCAATAATATTGATCATAAAATGAAATTTGTCCCATTCATCCCCACTCTCCCCTACTAAATAAATAAATGAATTTTTTTATTACAACCCTTTTTGATGCTTTGTCTCATTTTTTTAAAAAAAATTCTTGTTAGTTTTTATTTAGTTAGTTGTTGCAAATATTATTTCTTGATTATTCCCTCTATAACTGTTTCTACTGCAGCAACGTTTGTACTATTCCGAGTCCTATTTTGCAATTTTCGAAAGCTTATTGTATGTAAAATCATGTGTTAAACCAGTTTATGGCCCAGTGTAGAAATTTTATATAAGTGGCATTATTTTCATTGAAAAAAAAAGAATTTTTAAAAATATATTTGTAGAATCATTTAAAAATTGAAATGAATTATTGAATAGTTTTAAAAAATGGCAATATTCTATTTGTTAAAGTAACAGTAGACTGAAGTTTGACGGCTATGACAATATACATTGTGTAAAAAAAAAAAAAATGAATCTAAAATAGCGCTTTTTGTTTGCAATAAGAACATTATTTTCACAATTTATTTACTGATTTCTGTTAAAGGACGATTTTTATCATTTAATTAATTCTTGGAATGGTGAAGTATTCTTCTAAGATGATGACGCCCTGTAGGTGTGAAAATCCATGCATATTCGAATTTTTTTGTTTTGTTCGACGGCCAAACACATAAAGAGAAATAATAAAAAATATATCTCAGATTTAGTCATTCGTAAAATTATTTGATGAATCATCATTGTGAAGGACGCCGTAAAAAAGATAAGTTACATCATCTTGTTTTATTTTCGAATTCATATCAGACAGTATGACGCCACAAAATAATGAAATGTTACAGTCATTAGAAAAAGTTTCCTTAAATTGTGCATTTTCGTAAGCGCGAAATATATACAATTAATTTGAAAGTATTTACGTTAAGCGAATCACTTCTTTTTGTAGAAAAACAAAGCTAGAGATTTATCTATTAATAAATTAAGAATAATTCATTAATAAAGAATCATCAATAGAATTTTACTTTCATTTATAGAATTGCATTCTCTTTATATTTTATTTACGTTTAATTAAACTAATGAAAATATTTGGTGTCAGAATAAATAGACATCTATTATTATCACTCGTACCTTAAAAATAAAAGAAAAAGGAAAAGAAAGAAACTGGTAAAAAAAGAAAAAGAAACTGGTAAAAATTTCTGCACGGTTGTTGATTATTTTCCAGTTTTATTTTTGTTATGTTACTCGATTTTATTTTCAGATGTTACATTATTTTTCAAATTTTATTATGCTTACAAATGTAATAAGGGAATGGGGAGGCTGAATTTTTTTTTTTTTACGTAAGTGGAAATTCACAAAAGGAAACCTAAGTGTCTCGCAGGCGGTTTCAGATTTACAATCATAATTTGCATTGGTAAATTTCACTAAATTTAAAAATACATTTTTAAAATGCTCTAAAGAAGAAAAAAGATATTTAACCCCATTCTTTCAGTGTTGTACTTAAAATTTTATTTTGGAGGGGTTTTTAATGTTAGAAAAATTTTGAGTTTTAATCAGGCTTCACATTATTTAATCTTTATTGTTTTGTTATTGAAAAGTGTCTATTTTTTAAAATTGAATTAAAGTATATATATTATAGTTTTATATAATAACTAAGTATTTTATTAGTTTTATTAAATTAGTTTCTTTTTTAATTTCTTGATTCGAGGGGTTGTACTACCTCAATGATTATATTAGGGGATAGGGACAAAAAGTATACACTGATTTTAAACACTATGCATGTAGAAATTCAAGATTATTTTATTTTAAAAGTTTATATGTCTGGATGGAGTTCTTTATGAATAATCACAGTATTCTATTCCTGAAAAAAATAGCAAAATCTGTCCAAAATTTATTTATTGTAAATTATTGATAAATAAAAATAATTATTGTTATATATATAACTAATACTTAACAATCAACAATATAATTTTTATTTTTTCTAATAGTAAATATTTTTATCAATAATAAGTTTTGTTTCCATGATTAAATAATAGGTCCAGTGTTTTGTAAACAAATTTCTCCTTGTTTTTGTTTTCAGAACGTGCTGGTGTCATATGATGAGTGGCGCCACCTAGAAGCTAAAGATAAAGATATAAACATGGTGCGAAATGTTGTTGAGATGATGCATGAAACTTTGGCAAGATCTAAAGAGTGCGAGCGAATCAATAAGCCAAAATATAAACTTATACCAAGAAAAATACAAGAGGTAATCTTAACAACCCCTCCTCCTATTTTCACTTGTCATGTGATGTGATTTATTATCTTAAAAAAAAGTTATTTAAATGATTATGATCTTAGTCAAAGTCGTACCCAATAATGCATTCTTAAATAAAGCTTTTTTTATTAGTTTTTTAATTTATTTAGTTTTAAAAAATTATTATTTTTCACTTTAATTAATTTTGAAAAAGTCAGCAATTAATTTACTATGCATCGTTATTTTACCCATATTTTTATTATTTGTTTTTTAAACAAATGTAAACAAACATATTCTCAAGCATTATATTAATATTTACTACACAGCAAGTTTATATAGTACATAAAAATAAACATGTTTAATTTAATTAAAAACTAAATTATTCTAAATATTTAATCAGAATTTTAAAATAAATATAGATATTATGCAATGTAACAAATGTTTGGTTAATTATAAATAAGTTTGCATTGTAAATATTAAAAAAAAATTGATTTAGGTGATTATTTAAAATTGTGCCTCTATGTATTTTTTTAGAAATATTTTTAAGAGTGAAATTATTATTTTTTTAAAAAAAAAAGCAATTTTAAGATTTTCCATTTGTTATTTTAAATTGCATATCAAGTATTGTTATTATTTTTTATTTTTTGATCAATTTTAAATAATTTTTGTAGAGTTATTAAATTAATGAATTTCAAATTTTGTTAATAGGGTAATGGGAAAGTGTATATATTGCTAACCAAGCCTTTGGATAATACTGCAAGAATAAGAGTTGCCTTAGAAGCTAATGGTGCCCGAGAAATTCCAGTAAAACGAAGAAATCCATACACTTTAACCTTTGTCATTCCAGGTGAATTTTTTTTCTCTTTAATGCAATTGAATTTAAATTTATTTTTACTATTCATGGTTAATTTTTCTCAAGAAATTCCAGTAAAACAAAGAAATCCATGCACTTTAACTTTATCATTCTAGGTGATCTGTTAATGTAATCTTTAATGTAATTGAATTTAAATTTATTATTCATGGTTAAATTTTCCCCTTTAATTTCAAAGAATTACAAATCAAATAAAATAATAATGAAGAACCTTGTTGTTATTTTTGGTTTTGAGTGTACATTTCATATTAAGAATGTTGTAATGCTCAGTAAGTATATATCCATTAAATGTTATTTATTATTGAAATTATCTTTTTAACTGATTTTATCTTAAGTCTCAATCAGAGAGGTATATTTATCAAATAAATAGCTTGCTCAGTTTATATCTTTCTTTAGATCGTTATTTATTAATTTTTCTTGGTGGTTGCATTAAATATTAAATGTATCATTAACAACATATTGAATTTTTAATGCAGTTTACTCATTTTTTTACATTATTTTCAAATTATTTCATCAATTTTACATTATTTTCAATTTACATAATAAGGTTAAACTTTGTAGTTTTCAATTTGGCACCACAAAATAGTTTCATCTAACACAAGCTCTCTGTTAAAGTTTTAAGGTGTAATATTTTATAACAATATTAAACATTCTTTTGCAAATAATTTTATGCATTATGAAATCATTTTTCATTTATAATGTTGCATTCTTTTATTAAATAAAAATAAATGTGATTAGTTTTGTAAATTTACAAGCTTTTTCTTAAGTGTTTTCTTAACTTCATGTATTATCAAAATCATATATTTTTTTTCTTGCAGATGATTTGATACACATTCAAAATATGGTAAATGTACATGTTTGGAATGGAGAAGATTTTATGGGAGTAAGTTCTGTGAAATGTGTTTCAAAAATGGGAGAACTCTATGGATTACTTAGTTCAGTTACATCTCCTTATGAATTTCTTCGAAGCACTCTTGGAGTTTCCGCTTTGTCAGAAGTGGACAATCAGCTCACGGCTGCTTTCAGAAAGAATCTACCATTAGAAGGATTTAGTCTATTGAGACCTGAAAACAAACTTGATAAATATAGCAGTAAGTGTATCTCTACATTTTATTTCATCTAAGCATATTTTCTACTAAATAATAACCTTTCAAAGCCAATTATTACTTTATATTCTTCCAGTTAAGTAGCGTTTTTGAGTTTTCCTGGCCAATAACTTTTATTTTATTTTAATGTCACACTTAGTTTATGACACCATTTATTTTCCTTACATTGTTATTTTAAGTTAGGCGCAATTTAACCTACTCTCATGCCATTAATCTCTACATTCAATCTTCCAGAAATATTTGATGTATATCGAAAAAAAAAATATTTTTAGAGTTTTATGTACAGTATTTGTAAGTCATTAATTTTTCATTTTTGTCAATTTGCTGCATATTAATGCATTAAATTTTTAATGTTAATTTTTTTATATTGTAATAATACCATTTTTTATTGTCAATAAAGGTGTAATTAGTTCAAAATAAAATTAAGATAACAATTAGAAAATTTACTTATATTTATTTCTTAAAAATGTATGGAATTCATATTTATTTTTAACATTTTGTTAAAAATTTATATCTTTTGTAAACTTTAATTGTTAAACAGTTTCTTACATTAAAAGAAAAAGAATATATATATATATATATGTTTGTAATTTATAAATTTAGGAAAGTTACTCAGGTTTTATTTATTCTTTATTTGAAAGTTGATGAATAACATTAATAAATAATGACTTCATAGGAAGAAAAAAAATTCATGTAACATAAAACACTTCTTTTATCTGTTATATAGAATTAATTCGACTATTTGAAATGGGATTTTTTTATTTATTCACAATTTTAATTCTCAAGAACCCCATTCAAAAGTTCACAGTAACTGTGATTCTGTTCTTTGTCAGTTGTATGTGAATGTAGTATGTACAATGTTTTTTCCTAGTCTGAAGTGCATTTTTTTTAAAACCAAAAATGTATTTTAAAATTTACTAAAATGCTTACTTTTGGAACTAAAATTATGTATTTTTGAATTTACATGGCTTCCAAGCTTAATGCTTTTCAACCAGACTAAAATGAAAAACAGCGTGGATAAAGCACAAATGAAGTAGTTTTTCAATTTAGTCTATGTAGCACAAAAATATACCACATCCTTTTGGTTTTTCAATCAATTTGAAAATCAAGACATAAACTAACCTTCTACGACTTTTTGCACACTGATACTAAAGCAGTACCATCAACTGTTTTAATTACTTTTTGTAATATAATGTATTTTTTTAAAGAAAAGTAAAAAGAAACTTTATCCTACATTTAGTAAATTTTTTTTGTGACTTTTTATTTAAAATTTAAGTAGATTAGCATTATTTTGCAATTTGCTTTAATATTGATTCTCTTTCTTTTTTTTTTTTTTTTTTAGCAAAAGAAGAATTTCCTTCATTGCTTCATTTTGCTGCTAGATATGGGCTTTATTCATTGACTCATGAGCTGTTTAAATGTCCTGGTTCTCACACTGCAGCCAATATGAAAAACTCAAAAGGCTTGACTCCTGCTCAATTAGCAAATAATGAAGGGCACATCAAAGTTGCTGCAGCAATTGATGATTTTTTGGTTAGTTTTGTTTTAAATTGTAATATAATGTTTAAAGAAGAAGGGTTACACTTTAGATGGAATGAGTAATGTAGAAAACATGAATTAAAAAGTAATTTTTGTTAGTGACAGGTTAATCTATCTAGATATTTATATATAGCTTGATATTTATATATAATTTGAACTTTTACCGGAATAACATTGTAATAATGTCTTAAATTTTTTTTTTAAACATTTCTTTTACATTTTGTGCTACGCTAATTTTTTTTTTCTGTCTAATGCCTTGTTTAAATACAAATATTTGTATTTTAATGTACTTCTAATAAAAGCCCTTCAAATGAATATTACTGCACTCTATATCTCATTGCTGTTTGATAATTGCATTTTTACTGTTAGACATTTTTTAAATGTTTATGTTTTTGTTTTGCAGCATTATTTTTAAAAAGCAGTGAAATTAAAGTTTTGAACATATTTTTTTTTATAAAAATATCGAAATGAAAAAAAATCTGAAAGGCTATTATATTTTACGCTTATCAAAATTATCAATTATTCTTTTCAAAATCAAAATTATGCAATCAATTATACCTACTACATAATTTGAATCCAGTAAATAGCATTTTTAAGCTTTACAAAGAGTTTGGATATTATAGGTTTTCATTTTAAATAAGTTTTGTTTATATATATATATTCTTTTTTTATACTCTGAAAAATCATTTAATTTCAAAAAGTGCTATGCACAAGTGTTAATTGTTTTTAACAAGAAAACCACATAAGCTAAAATTCGGTATGTTGTAGTTGAAATCCTTCCGATCAAATAATCTTATTTGCCTAATGTTAAAACACAGATTGTGACGTAGAGAGTTTCGAAAAACTGGTCGAGTTGCTTTGAGTGACTAATTTAAAATTACTCTTAAAAAAACCTGTGTGACATGTAAGTTTAACAGTCTGTATTTCGAACTCCTTTCATCTTTTAATACAATGTGTCAAAATTTCATACGAATTGGCTGGGATCCTATTGCCATGTAAAATGGGAGGAACCTTTGTACTCTAAACAAATTCATGATTAAAGTAACTTATATGTGGTTTTATGTGCTATTAAATTTTATTTCCTTTAAAACTCTTTCCTCCTTTTTTGTGATATTTTTTTAAAATCAAAGGTAGTGTCAATAACTCGCTCTTAAAAATGTTTTGAATAGTTTTTTATTCAACATTTTTAAATATTAGATATTCTCTATAATATGCTTAAAACTGAAGAAGGGTATTACTTTTTAACACATTTGATAAAAATTTAAAAAATAAAACTATTTTTATTTTTTAAATTTTAAGACAATAAATAATGTGTTTTTATTATTAAATATGGTTCTTATATTACTAGATAATAAATAATGTATTTAGAGATTTAATAAATGATGAATAATAGATTATTATTTATCTCGTGTTTTTTTGTGTGTTTTCATTGTTGAAAATTTTTTTCCTTGAATATTCATAGTTTACAAAGATTTAATAAAACAGAATAGTTATCTATCTGTTAAACTAACAATTTTGTTTCTTCCATAGAAAATGAATTATTTGCAAGAGAAAGAAAACATTGCAACTCCTACAACATGTTTAACATGTGGTGAGTAATAGTTGAATCTGTTATATTATTTTAAATGCTAATTGGAGTATCTGTGATCGAACATATGATAATGTTAGAGATAGTTTCCAAAAACATATATCTTAATAATTATTATTTATCTTTCACCTTTGAGCAATATGAAAATGTAAAACGTTAATATGACTTAAAGGTACAATGTTGATATGTATTACAAGAAAATGCACAATGTTGATACTGATATGTATTTCAAGAAAATTTAATTTAAGATTAGTGATTATGATTTCAAGATTAAACTATTTCAAGATGGGATGTGGGGATAGGGTAAACATCTAAGACAGAGAATAACCTGGGTCAGCAAGAGAAGAATTAAAAACACCCTTCTTTTGAATTTGCTTTTTTGTTTCTATAGAATCAATCAGCCCTAAACTAAGTTTAATGTAGCAGTATTCCCTGTGGCATAATTTTTTTGGGCTTTCTGCGACAAACTTCCCTAGCATTTCAAATATTTTTTTGAGATACTTTTAATTATAACAATTACTAATTTAAAATAACAGAAACGTTCTATTTACAGAAGAAAGTATAGAATAAAAACGTGTTAAAATTTTAATTGTAAAAGTAATATTTTTTAAAATTCCAATATTATAGGCACTTTCTTGCGTTTTGTAGGTGGAAAAATGCCCTAATTATTTCCCCTTTTTAATTTTGTAAATCATTACAAAATTTGAAATTCATAAATAAATTAAACGATAATAAATTAAAATTTGTAAATAAATTAAAAATTGTAAAATCCATGTAGTAATTCCAAAATAAAGATTGATGACAAAATCACGCGAATAGGACTTTGTGCAAAAACTCTGTAACGTTCTGTGGCAATGTCGCCATGTCACCGCAATTCTGCCATGAGGGCAGTATTGTAATTAGATATGGAAGATTGAAGTATTTTTTTTAAAATTTAAATATGAATACTGTATCATGAACAAAGCCTATTAAAATTTTACACGATTCTCTATTTTTTGTGTTTTGATACTTATGTTTAATTGTCATTTGAAATTTAACTAATTTAATTTTATAATGAAGTTCCAGATACTGCTTTTAAAAAAGGCAATCCTTTGGATGATTATGATATCCCAGCTCAACCTGTTCCAGTATTGCACCTCCCCACAAATCGAATGGTAGGACGAACAACGAATGATCGAGAATGCGATTACATGCAAATGAAAGCCTCTATGAAAGGTATGCGATCACAATGTCCAAATTGTTTACATTTATTTCATTATTATTTTATGGGGGCTAAAATAATTGTTTTTCTTCCTATTATTTAAATTAATTTAATTGTTTTAAATCACTATGTTTCTCACTGACAAAAACTTCATGGTGTAATAAGTTATATTTGTAGTAGCAATCATTGTTCTTATGAATTGTTCTAAAAAAATATTGCATAAATTTTAAAATTTGTAGTGTAAATCAAAGTATTCATTATCAGATTTGTCTTAAATTTGGCATCCTTCCTGACTAATATCCCTTCAATTTTTTTCATGTTCACTAACAAGAAATACATAAGTTCATTAGCACTAAATTTTCTTTTATGTTCATTTATGGTAGCATGAGTAATAATAATTACAAGTTGTGTTTATGTTTATTTAATTTCAGCTGCATACAAGTAAATAAACTGAATTTTTTAAAGAAAGGAACTGAAATACTGCTACAGATCATTTATGTGTATATTTACTATGATAAAATTAAGTAATTAGACATTTTGGTTGACATAAGATGATAAACAATAATAATGCCAAACCTTGATTAGTGACCACCTCTAAGTCTAAACAATAGAAACCTCCAAAGATCTACCACTTGTTTATAGAACCTAACATCTTATATAGGATTCACTTAAGGGGGAACCTCTGAACAGCAATTTTCAAATAAGAGCATGATTTTTGTGTCGGTGTTTCTTTGCCAACTTTTTTTTCATCTCTAACTTACAATAATTTTAACTAATTAATAAGCATATTTCCCTCTAAGGTCACAACATTCAAGTCAAAACATTCATACAAAAGTCAATCATAGATATGTTGCGATGGTTCATTTCCTCTTACTACAGATGATCTGCATCTTTCATTGATGGTCCTTCATGAATCACATAATCTTGTTCCAACAATTACAATAGATAATACATCATTGGAATATTTTATTTTATGCAATTTGGAGAAAATATTCATGCATGTGCTAAAGACTGACCAATGTTTGTTGATTGTTTTCAGTTTTTCTATCTTAAAGTTCTGGACATTAGTAAAGGTATCTGAATGAGAACTTCAGGAAATAATAATACAAATATACGCATGCCTGCCACCTATTACGTTTTTTGAAGAGTATTTTATTGAGTGGTAGGTAATTAGGAGCAAACCTTTCCGATTTTTTATTTTTGCCAACCAAGTTTCGTTTGATATAAACTTTTAAATCATTTACATGTGGTGTGAAAAATAACTTCAAATTAATTATACACACGCAGAATTATGCATAACATTATACATCACATTAAAGAATTATACATATAAGCATAACTTAGCTGTTACTGCAAGAAATTTTCCCTAAAGGCATAGAGAATTGGTCGTCTTCGATGAGTGTAGTATAAATTTCCTTACTTTATATCATGAAATCAAAGGCATTAAGAATAGTATAAAAGAAATAGGCAGGTGAAAATTAGAAACACTGTGGATTAAGGTACATCTATGACATTTTAAGTAACAAGTAAACTTTATTTGATAACTATTTCAGGGCTTTAAATCTTTTGTTTGTAGTTTTTTTGGATCAGTATTTTGGAGGATTAAATATATTGTTTGTATTTATTTATTTTGAATTTGTTGATAAATCCAAACAATGGCTAATTCTTAACATCGGCCATATAGGCACAGTTCCATAAGGGGCTGTTGTTTGAGGTTTCACTGTATAATGATTTAAAATCATTACATGCACTATATACTAATTTTATGGAAAAAATAGACGGATCTTCCATATACTATTTATTTACTATTTTTATTTGGTTTATCTGTTATTTAAAATTAATTTTCACAATTGGGAGAGTATAATTGTTTTACACTTTAATTCTTCATTTCAGAAAATATTGAGCCCTTACAAAATATTGGGTTAGGCCTAAATGAAAAGCGAGACAATGTGATAACCAATACAGCTTGTAATGCTGGTAAGAAAAATAATTGCATTTTTTTTTATAAATATTTTTAAAATTTATTTGCCTTTTTAAATCTGAGAAGGAATTATTTTTAGTTTATATTTTTAATGAAAATGTAAAGTAGATTATTATAACTAAATTGGTGAACAGAAATGCTTATAGAAGTATTGTTTTTCAACTGAAATAATTTTCTATCAGGAATTTTACGAATGTATAATTTAGTTAGCATTTAATGATTTATCATGATTGCTTATAACCTTTACTGTAGTTTAATTCATAACTTTTTAATGGTCTACTACAAACAACATTATTTGTAATTATTTCATTTGTTACATTGGATTCATAATAATGGAAGATTTGAATAATATCATGTATATTTCATAAATTTTGTTTATGGAAATGTTTAAGGATTTTGAATATCTTTGTTGTCTAAGAGTCATTTATTATCTTTAAATATAAATAATAGTCATTTATCATATAATTGCTGGAATTTTAAAAGCATGAATCTGCTATTTTTTTAAATTATTTATCATGATTGTTAATTGTTTTTAAGTTATTTATCATTAAATTTATGGTTAGTAATATGGCAGTTTTCATTACTCTTTAAAATGTTGACTCTTATGCACAGTAGTATATTAATAATATTATTTCAATTATATTTTGGTTAAATAAAGTCAATTGAAAAGTTTCAAAAAGTGCTTTTTGTTATTATAAAACAAATAGCAGATGTAATAATTTATCATTTTTATAACATGAACTTTTTAAGTGCAAGTTATATTACAGGTCAATAGTTTAATAATTTAAATCTCTAAGTTATTTTTTAAATTGTTTTAAGTTTCAAATCATATATTATTATTTTTTGTTTTTAATGTTTATTTTTAGTTTTGATGGAGATTTTAATTAATTTTCTATTTTAATGGGTTCTTTTATTTATATGATTTTTTTTAAAAATGTAACATTGTTTGATTTATTAAATTTTTTTTTTTATGATAGAGAGAGCTAAACTAAGTCTCCTTGAAAGTCAAGCGAAATTAATTGAAATAATGGAAGCTTACAAAAAAGGAGCATCATTAACTGATGTGGAAAAAATGCACAATGAATGGAAAACACGGTATCAAGTGTCAGATATGGAAGCAAAGGTTTATAATATGTTTCATTTATTTTTTAATGCTAAATTTAAAATTATGTAAAATTCAACATCTAATCTCTATGTTTCAACAATGTAGCTTATTTAAGAGCTATAGTTTAGCATAGTTGCTTGTATATCACAATTTTGATAATTGTAATATCACTTTTATGTGAAACTAGAAAAAGGCAATAATTGTCAAAGAAAAGGTGTGTTTTTCTGAAAATTAAATGACATTATTTATGTATTTATATATAAATTAAATATTTGTATTTATACATTTTTCCATAGGCTTTGAACAAATTTAAAATATAAGAAATTATTTTGTGAAAAAATTCCCTTATTTTGTATAACGTTAAATTTTGTTTTTGATTACCTAAAATATGGATTATGTCTGGTAAATCTATCAATATATATATATGTGTGTGTGTATGTATATATTAACTGACGAATTTTTAAATTAAGATTAAAAATCCTATGCGTTTTTGACTCTATTCCTGCTTTGAGTTTTTGCTGTTAAAAATAATAAGAATTACCATTTAATTATAACTTTATAAATAAAAAAAAAATTGCTTAAAATTGCTCTTTTAATGCCATAGTGATGTTTTTAAAAAAGTTTTTTCTTTCTTTTAGAGCACATTAGATGGCTTAAGAAGTCTATATGCCAAAGCACAGAAAGCTAAAATGCTCAAGAAACATTCTACAAGTTTCTCTGAACTTCGACAGTTTTTAAATTCTAAATGGAGAAGGAAAGATAGCGATTCTAAAGTAAGCTTTTTTTTGTTATATGTAATCACGAATCATTGATTTTTTTAAAATGTGATAATTTGTAATTGTGATTACAATTAATAATAACAAACAATTAAAAAAGAATTATGATTTTTAACAATACCTTAATATATAATTCTATGTAATCATAGATTATATATTAACTTGAGATCATATATATGATTTAATGTAATCATGATTCCTTGTTATTGTAAACTATCATTATCTTGTTATCACGATTGCAAGCGATTGATTACTTGTTACATTTTTGTTCAACTCTGTTTTGCTACTTTTTTACCATGATTCTATCGCAGCTTTTTAAAACCTGAATCTTTTGGAATTTAAACATTTTTAGCATTATATTAATATTTTAAATTACATTGTCTTAGCATAAATAAATCATATTTGTTGTTATTAATTAAATTATTTTGGATATTGCAGAGTATGAGCAGAAGAAATTCTAAAGATTCAAATTCTTCTGAAAAAGTATCTCCTGAGTCTGAAACTGTTAGACCAGTAAGCACATTGAGTGTACTGTCGAACACAAGCAGTTCAAGTAATTTTTTCTTGCTAATTATTTTAAAAAACCAGTTTTTTTTCTTTCTTTTTTTATTTTATAGTAATTGTTTTTAATATATTTTAGGTGGTTCTTCATTTGATCGATTAAGTACTGCAAGTGCTGGATCAGACAGTGGTCATCATTCTGATTTTGGTGATGATCGTAACAATAGGTTTAGGGTAAGTTGCTTTTTTTTTTAAGATTAATATTACAAAATTTTAGTTTTTTTTAGTATTAATTATTAGTTTTTAATAATCTATTTATAAGTTGAGCATTAACAGTTTAACTTTTGTATATTTATTTTCTTGAGGATTTTGTTGAAATTTTTTAAAATTATTGACCTATCAATATTCTGGGGTGAATATTTTTTCTATGTGTATTTATGTTATTGAAAAAAAGATTTTTTTTGATAGAAATAAAAATAAAAACAAAATTTGTGATAGTTAAATTTTTTTCATTTATGGTAAATATAAATTATTCTCTTAAAACAACTGTCAATTTTGAAATATCTATGAATTATATTTATAAATTCTGTATTACATTAATATTTGTCTTTAGTTCTTTTTATAATCCATGTATTTATTTTTTACAAATCACCAAAAATATGAGAACTCTTGAAATACTTATGCTATTTATCTTTTGAACTTTTAATTTCATAATGTCTTAACATTCAACTTGTCAAAAATTATGCCTGAGATATTTGAGTTCCGAAGTTTGTTTCACTATGTGTTTTTATATGTGTAATTAAATTATGTATGTAATTAAATAATATAGTAATTTTCTTAAGTTGAGCTCATTAAATAAATATCAAGAATTTCAAAAACAGCACTGAAAACAATGCTGGAAAGTATCACCAGTGCCATGACACAGAATTTATTCACTTTATGAATAGAATTTAATATATTTATTCAGATTTTGTATTTTTCTGTTTATTTAAGAAATTTCGTATTCTGTTATTAGAATTATATCATGTGTAAAAATACTAAATTTATTTATTTTGCAATTTTTTTATATTTTTTAAAGAATTTATTTTTATTTTCTGGGATTACTATGTATTATTTTATAGAAATATTGTGTAGTTATTTAATATTATTGGATACAATAGTTTCAAATTTATTATATTTATTTTCTTATTAATTATGAAATTTATTATACTTCATGTTTTAAGAAATTTTTCTGTTAATATTTCTAGATTTTATTATTCATGTTCTGAGATTTTTTCAATATTATTTATGGAATTTGTTGTATTTTCATATTTTCTGTTTTTTTATGGAAATAATTCTAACTATTAATATTTATGGCTTCTTCATTTTATTATCAAATTTTTTTAATATATTAATATTTTGCCATTGATTTATATTTTAAAAGTTATTTTAGTTAATGTTCTGTGATTTCTTTATATTTATAGAAATCATAATATCTTTATATTACTTATTAAATTTAATAAGTTACTTTATATTTTGGGTTTTTCATTTTTAATTTATATTTTGGGTTTTTCATTTTTAATTTATATTTTGTGTTTTGCATAATTTTCTTTACTTAGCAGAAAAAAAAGTCACTTTTTTATACATGAGTATTAATTCTTTTCTCAGGAGCGATGTGAATCACGCTATCAACATCAGCAGCGAAAAGCTTCTACTGATTTAGCGAATTCCCTAAACAATCACAAGACTCTAACACTCAATACAAAGCCCCCAGCTCCTCCCCCTAGACCTGTAAAAACAACACATTATGGGAGCTTAGAAAACTGTAAGCAGTCTGAAATTCCACACTATTCCACCACCAAGAAATTAATTGCTCCATCATTTGAAGAAGCTTTAAAAATGTTAGATTTTGTACCTCCTTCATCTAAAAGTTCCTCTCTCAAAAGTGACTTCAGATCAGGAAGAAAAACATCACTTTCTAGTATTGGTAAGTTATGTTTTTTAACATTAATATAGAATGTTTTCTTATTCAATTTTAAGTATTATTAAATATATATATATATATTAATGTGGGTGACTGTTGTTAGTTATAAAAATGATAGTCTGTTTTTTACTGTTTAGAAAAATGTTAAATTTTTTATAGAAATTTAACTTGTTTTGAAGTAGTTTGCAAGAAGTTTTTGTATTATTTTTTAAATAAATACATAGTTCAAAGTCTATAAATACATAGTCAACTTATTTTTACTATAATTATGAAAAATGTACATTTTAATTAGTATATCTTTTATTTTGAAATTTTGGTGTCTCCATCTTTTAAATTGGTATAATTTTGAGTTATAGAAGTATAATTTTGTTGTTACCAAGTTGGTATAATTTTGAATTATAGAAATTAAAAAAATGAAAACTAAATTCAGAGATAACGCATTGACTGCTGCGTCACCCATATTTGGTTACAGTTTTAATTCCAGTTTTGTTGTGAGTTAGCTACCTGTGAAATTGCTTGTTAATTTCTGTGGTATTTTATTAGTTTCCTAATTTTATTTTGCTTTTTTAGATTTCAGCAGTTTTGAAGATCCTTGTGAAAACTATGATCGACCACCACCACCTAGACCGAGCTGCAGCACTGCTGTCTCCCCAACAAATGATATTTCCCTCAAACTCTCATTTCCCATTGGTCCAAAAACAGATTACGACATAGTTCCACCTCCACTTCCAATTTCTCCTCCTCCAATCAAACAAGATAATAATTGTGATGCTGATCAGTCTTATGACATTCCGCCACCTTTTTTGCAAAGATCCAACAGCATTTCTTCCGATTATGACTTTCCAAAAGCTTCTATTTTCAATAATACAGACAATCAACCAGCCTGTACCTGTCACATGGCTGCCAGAATCAATAATTTAAGTTCTGTCAAAAGTTGTTGCGTTGGGAACAAGTTGTCTTCTCTGAAGCAAGTTGGAACTTTGCCAAGTGTTCCCAGCTTTGATGTAATTGATAGGGAAAAGACTAATAACAACATTAATAAATCCCGACCAGTTCAACGCCATCAGTATTCAAATGTAGTGTGCCTGAAACCCCCAAAAGATTCCATTAGTGATCGAGATAGCATACCAGAAGAAATGGCACCACCTCCACCTGTTATTTTCGATGAAGGACCGGAAGAACATTATAAGATAGTTGGTGCACCAACCCCTGTCCCCAGTATGTTCAAAGTATCATAATTCTTTTATTTTCTCTAATGTGAATTTGTTGAAACATTTTTGCCAGAGCTTAAATTTCCAAATAGCATTTATTTTGTGAAATGTGTACTGTTATTATATATTTATTGCTTATGGAGTCGTAAGAAAATTGAGTTTGATGAGCAAAATCATTTTTTTAAAAATATATATTATTTTGTGAACTGTATTATTTCATGTTTTGTTAATGTTATATGAAATTTGAGTTTGAATGATTAATTATCCTGCCTAAAAACTACTAAAATTAATCCTAATTTTTAAATATATATATATATAATTGGTGACAATTGCTAAAATAGTCATTTGTGAGCAGTTAGTATCAAAAACTATTCAGCAAAATTTCAAGAAAATTGTTGAATGGAATAGAGAAATTATGAGAATAAGAATTTTTATTGATAAAATTTAAGTTTCAAAAACAACCACAAAGCAGTTTATATTTAGCCTTATAAGATCATATATAAATAACAATCAATAATATACAAAATTTAACAATCGCCTGTCTACAAAACATGGTCAATATGATGGACAGCTAGTACCTGTAACTGTCAAATAACATGCTCAATAGTCTTTAAGTGGTGTCTACTTGGGTAATTGGTATGCTGTTATATCTTTAAGTTTTGAGACACGTCATTGAAGTGTCACCACAGTAATAATTCATAAGGTATCAAGTCTAGGGTATCTGGAAGTCTAATCTTAGGGTAATGTGAACCAGTAATTGTTATGGTAGCTTTTGTGTCTGAAATTAATTATCATCAATCTACAATTTTCTCAAAACTGCTATATTGCTTTTGAAATAGCCTGCTCACTAATGTCAAATTATGGGAATCCTTTATTTTATAGACTGTTTGGTTAGATTTATTAATTAAGCTCTAAGAAAATTAAGTTTGATAACATAGTATAGTGTGGCTTGGAGGAGAACTCCTTCAGACTAAATGTCTGGGGCTGTCTACTGCTATGGTAACAAGCAAGATCACATTTCTAATGGGGGTGCAAACGAGGAATGAAGGTGTTGATTGGTTTACTCACGCTGAACTATGCCAAGATAAAGACAAAACTATTCACCCCGCACCATTATTCAAATTTACTTTTTCTCATAACCATGGTACCCGCCACGATGTGAGACTGATGTCTAGAGGAGTTCTCTTGAAAGCTTTACTATAGCTACCACTTTTGATTTTATCAACATATTTGATGGTTGATTTCTCTATTACTGAGTCAAATTTTGTGATTTCTGGGGAATTTAAAATGATGAGCTTCTCTACTGACCTTTATTTTAGTATTATTTACTTATGTTTGCAAATAGGATGTCAAACTGTTTTTAGTTACCTATCATTATTCAGGATTTGCATTATAAAAAGCTATTATGTATTACTTTCTTCAGAATATCTTCCTCTAATGCTTCTGTTTAGTAAATTTTTATGATTTGCTTTTTATCATAGTTTCAAACACTTAGTGTTAACTGTTGTTTGTATAATTTTTTGAATTCCAGGCAAAAAGAAAAAAATTAAAAAGATGCACTTTGAAAGCTGCAAAAGAATGATATAAAAAGAAAGAAAAACGAAGATTAAATTAGCTGTACAGGTTCTTTTTCTTAAAATCTTACATCATTTTAGAATTTGAAGTCTTTTTTTTCTTCTCATTTGCATTAGAACACAAAATTTAATATTTGGTTAAATATTTGCTTCTATTTAAAAATTAATTTAAAAAATCTGAATTTTTACTATTAAAATTAGTTTGTTGTCCTCATTTTATAGAGGATTTTGAATTAATTTTTAGAAGCAAAGATAATAAAATTTTTCAGGAAGAGTTTTTTTAATTGCAACAAATTTCCAAGGGAAAATTTGTTGCTTTCGAAGTTTTACTTAAAGAAAGTATTAGTGGATCGTGTGTATATAATCAAATTTTCCAAGCAAACATTGGCAGAATGAAAAAAAAGCGAACAGTATTTATTGGATACATAATTTTTTTTTATTATTTCACTATATTTGTTATAAGAATGATATGCAATATTTATGTGTAATGTGCAATATTGTAATCAAATCCAGATAAATAGTGTCACAGAAAGTTATGTGTTGAAAATTAGTATCTTGTCCAAATTTTATTTAGTTTTGTACAATGTGTGGCTCTTGCAATAAACATATTTGAAGAAATAACTATGTATTGTAATAATTAATTCTGTTTTGAATTTTCTTTTTGCACAAAATTTTTTTACAATTCTGAGCAACTAATTAATCAATAAAAAAATTGATCAGATATTAAAAACAAGCACTGTATAAAATATAAATAAATTGGAACTTTTTGTCAGATAAAATAAAATTAGTTTGCAACACACACATTACCGAGTGAATATTGAGACATATTTGAAAAAGAGCTTTAAAGAATGGAAGCAGATGAAAATTATAATATTATAAAATTATTTAGTCTAATTCACAGGTATGTATGAACAGATATATAATTATCTTTAATACACAACTAAAAATATACATACTTTTATTACAATAGAAGAAAGAAGTGAGCTTTTGTAGATAGAGTAAAAACATTAAAACCATTGCATGTTTGGTAATCTAAACTTAACATCTGACAATTTCTACAATTGTCAAAAAGGTAATTTTCGAAAGGTGTGAATGAACAGAAGCTTGGTTTGAGTGTTCTCTGTTCCTGGTGCTTACAGAGATGATTGTGTTCCGGAAAAAATCCGAATTTTTCGTTAATTACGATCCGGAAGTTTCAAGAAATCATGGATCACATTTATGTTTAAAAATACTTGTATATTTTATTTTAAAATATTAGAACTAGAATTTATACTTGGCATTTCTTTCATTTGTAAATATTTTTTTCTGATAGAATAATAAATGTGATTCGAGATTAAAATAAACTTAGGTATACATAAATATTCATTTAAATTATGCTGCATATAATTTATTTAGAATTTCATGATTTGAAAATATCAATGATTTTAATTTATGAAGACATAAATTTTTTGGAATGTGTCATTAATGATTTTACTCTAGAAATTTTTGAGTTGGGCTCACTGTGTTTAGTACTAGACTTAAAATGTATATGAAAGTTTTATTTGATGTTAATTTGAAATTAAGTGATCATTCACACAGTATTTGGGGTTGTTCAACACCTAACTCCGAGGGGTATTGCACCAAAGTTTGCTCAGTGTGAGAGACAGTAAAGTTATTTTTGGATATAATATTAACCCTTTGACGCGGATGTGACACTGACATCCCTTATTTATATATATTTTTTGACGCTCTTATTACGAGTAAAAATATATTTAGTAATTTTTTATTCTGAAGTAAAAATATATTTTAGTAATTTTTTATTCTAAAAAACAATCTAATGGTTACTAAAAAAAATCTAGATTAACGGAATTATATTTGTACTAAAATATAAAATCCAACATAAAGTAGTTTGTAAAAATTTATTTTTCATACATATTCAAAAATTTATAAATAATTAATTTTGTAATTCAAGAAATTTCAATGGAGAATAATTACTTCTCTTGGATCTAAATAATTGCAAGTTAGAAATATTATTGTTTGAAACTGAGCCATGTTTTGATTCTACCTTTAAAACACAAAAAGACACCGATGTCTAATGCTGTATTTTATAATCGTAAATTATTAAATTGCTACATATAATATTTTTCACTTATTTTGATCTAAATTTATTACAAATGGTTAAACAGTTGGAATAAAATGTTTTAAAAATTCTGTTCCAAAGTTAAGTAAGAATCATTAATTGAGTATGTGTATGTACACAAATTTTTAAAATAAAATTAATTCATTATCAAACACAGTAGAGAATACTAAGAGGAATTCGAATAGGGTTTTGAACATAAGTGGATAATAATTAAATATAAATTATTTATACAATTAACAAGTATTTAAAAACCATGATACGCTTTTCCTTATTACAAAAAAGAAGGAATAAACAAGATTTTGAAATGGTAAAATAGGGTTTCTGTAAACGTTTACACAGGGACGGTCTCAACCGATTAATAAGTAAAAATATTTTTACCGATCTTCTCCTTTAAAAATAATAATATTTACTGAGTAAAATAAATTATTCATAATTTTGAAAATAAATCAAAATCCACAGTTTTGTAATTTTTTTTAAAATAAAAATGCAGTGTTGCAGATTTATACCTTAAATTCTATCAGGTTCAGATTAGAGACGAGTTTGGGTTCACTTTTGGAGGTCCAAGGAATTTTAATCCGAGCCTGACCTACATTGGATTACTTTGAATCTGAGTTCGCCTGAGGTACACGTCGGATAGTTTCTTCTGTCTTGAGTATGAGGATAACTAATCTTTAAAAATATACATTAACAAATGAAAATTACATAATAGGTAGTTCTTTTTTTAGGTAGTTCATTTACGTCGCACTAGAGCTGCACAATGGGCTATTGGCGATGGTCTGGGAAACATCCCAGAGGATGATCCGAAGACAAGCAATTACAATTTTGATCCTCTGCAGAGGGGATGGCACCCCCGCTTCGGTAGCCCAACGACCTGCACGCGAAGTCGAGCACTTTACGGTAGAACAGTTTAACGAGGACCAATACTTCACACCCTCGGTCCCCACGCAGACTGATCCAAGTGGTCACCCACCCACACACTGACAACAGCCAGTGATGCTTGACTTCGGTGATCTGCTGGGAACCGTGTCTTAACGATCAGTTCACTGCAGGACATTACATAGTAGATTAAAGATATGCAAAATGCATTCGATATTAAATAAAGAAGCGAAAGAAATATCTTACGTTTCTGTTCACTGTTTCTGATGCAACGTACTTTTACAAACAAGACAAGAACTACGACATACTTGGAGACAATACACCTCTGCTCGCTAACGCTTGCCATCCCCCAAAGGATGCTCGCTTCGCATCGTTCAGGATACATTGGATATTCCTCTTTACTATCAAATTAAATATAATCCTCTCCCTGTGTCATTTGAAGGCCGTTAAGTTCTCCACACTTACTAAAACTGCATTTCGCTCCCGTCTTTCGTCAAAGAATGGCGTCCACCACCTGTTATGGTATCAATGGAAATTCCAAAATGACTAAAACAATAATTTAAAAAAAAGGAAAATCTAAAGCTAAATATCTTAATCCCCAGAAAACTGAAGCACAGAACAGAAGTTCTGATCTTCTATCATTATTTACTGCTTATGCAATAATTCCAACTGAAATTATTACAATTGAAGACTGTAATCCTAACCCAGTAAGCATTTAAATTTCTAAGAAATTGATAACAACTGTGTTAAATCAAATCTACGTGTACTTCAATATACTTGTTTGATGGCTTTTCTTTTTAACTAAACGTTCACAAACCTTTAATAACCGTGGAGGAAGTAATTTGACACTTATTTCTAGAAATATGAATTCAAAAATTTTTTTACACGTAACTGTTCAGCAAATTGTCTAGGCGTTAGAAATTAAAGTATTTAATAAACGTTAACTCATTAACGTTTAATTTGCAAAGTTACGGTTTTTTGGTTGACTGTATCAGTCGTATTTTTTTCATTTATAACATTTGTATGAATTTATAAACTTGTGTACGTTGCTCGACTTTTTACACCGCATTAACGTTCATATCGATCGTCCTAAAAGTGACCGACGATTAGAAAAAATCTATTGAAGAAAAAGCGAAGGTAAAATACACGGCTTGCTAAATTCTACTCAAAACATCAGAAATTTATCACCAACAAGATTCAAAATTAGTTGCAAAGTTTGTCAACAGATGGACGAAGGACTAAGGAAGCTACAATGTAAAAAATTCCGGATCAAATGACGATATAAAGTACTGACACTTTAGGTTTGCATCATCCGTAAAATCCATTTTCCGGTCAAGTCTATTTTTACCGTAAAATATACCGTATTTTTACAGCAATATTTATTTATTTAAAGTGATTTAGTGACTTTACAGTAATTATCACTGTAAAAAGTACGATAGATAAGATTTTTTTGCTTCGTAATATGCTCCGATAAAAATTGTTTTTACGGTAAAAAGTTCCCTCACCCTGAGTGCCGGTGCTATAAACGCGTCAGTGTATAAAAGCGTAATTTGATCTGAAAATTTTTCACTGTGTAAAGAAGCAAATTTTCTTTTCTTTTTTAAATCACAGTTTACGGCAATAATGTTGTTCAGTTTGAGAACAAAACCAATAGACGTCCTTGCAAATATTTCAGTTCAAATGATCTGATTTGCACTAAAAAAAAGCTAAACGACAAAAAAAAAAAAAAAAAAACGATATAAAAACTGCAGGGCAACAGAAAAATCAACATTAACGACAAAAAAAAAAATTCAAATTTGGGATTTATATGTATTTGGCATTTTTGTACGATTAGCTACTAATCGAATTTTTTTAAATTTTTTATAAATTAACAGTATTCATTTTGGCGTTGGCACTAAAAAGGGAAAACGGAAATAGATGTCTTTTTTTCAATGCCTATCGTGAAGTACTTATGGTGTTTTTCTCAATTTCATTTCAGAACAGGCATACTATAAGCCTTAATTCTAGATAAAACTTCCTCAGTGTCGCAACGCAGAATGATAATTTTTTTTCAATGTTTTCTGCGTGATCCTATAAAAGATCCTTCCTTTTAGAGTCGAGACTCTGCACTCTTCAGAAAATGGAATGTTTTTCTTATAATAAAAAATAAGGACCTGAAATTCTATGGTTTCAAATACTTTTTTTCAAGCGATCAAAAATGAAAACTGCAAGCTTTTAAACTTATTATTTAAACTCATAATAAAATTATTAATTTTTTTTCGGTGTGCCGTTTTTCATAAAACTAGGATGATTTTCTCTTCGTCAGTTCATAATCTATAGTTTTAATAAAATGAAATATAGCACTAAAATATATATAGGTGTGGTACAGAAGACTATTGTCACACAATACAACTGATGTGCTTGGTATAGTAGTTCAAATATTTTTAAGCATTTTTGGATGCGTTGTATTTACATTTGATAAGCTGCAGTGTGGGCCATAAGACCTTGATCATTGGCCAAATGTCAAAAATTAAATTTTCAACTAAAATATGTGTAGGCAGTTTTAATTTAGCCCAAATTAAGTATTCATAATCATTCCAAACATTATAATTTACTTTTCGGACCGACAAGAGTACAATGTAATGAA